CGAAAGAAGTGTAGGGGAAAACACGAGACGTAGTCGAGTGTTTTTCTCTACTTCTTGAGTGCTCTACCGCGTCCTAAGTGGTTTACAACAGAACAGAGCACAGTCAAAGCTTCTTTATTTGTTTTATGTTAAAGAATTCGATAATTTCCCCGCGCATTCGGCTGAATTTTCAGCCATGCACTGTTCTCTGATAAAGCAGGCTGAAATAAGCCAATCACAATCCTTGTTAGAATTCTTCAAATAATTTGATTAGCTAACGAAGCGACAGCTGTCAATCACAAGCTGGACTTCAGCTACGCTTTCAGTTTTGAGTAGTTTGAGCGGCGTTCGAGAGAAGAACGGTGCCTTCAAAGTTCGCTTTTAAGTTAATTTATAAATACGGATCTAAAGGCAGGTAAAGGTTCATAGTCCAGAGGAATCCGGCCATATTGTGGCCCATGAAAACGTGCACTTTTCCAGTGGAAAAGTGGATGAAAATGCGAAATGCCGAGTTGAATTTGAAAGGAGCTACAGTTATTTACGGCTTGTAGCCGCATGCAGCAAGATTACCCCAACTAGCGTAAAAGTTAGAGAGACTAAACGGCTCCCACTGGTTCTACTCCGAGCACAGAAGAGAATATCAGAGCAAGCTTTGCACTGACACTCGTCGATTCACTTCGCTGAGATGACCGGAGAACGAGCGTTACTACACTGCATGTGAGTGTTGTTTGAGCAATTGAGCATTTTTACAAAAATAAAGCCTCTCTTCATAAACAGAGACAGTTCGATTGTTGATTTCTGTCGTTGTTTTACTTCTCAAGTATAATTTCTGCCTTCGTAACAAATATATTGTCTTTCATCGAAGCACTGTTTAGGTTAAGAATTTGTTAATTTCGCTACGTGTTTTGTCGGCGGGAACCTAGCAGAACTTGTTATTTTGGTACAGTTTTAGCACCACTGTTGCTAACAATGGTTTCTATGAGCCATCTTTCTTTCATCTTTAATCTTTAATCATTATTTATACACGGTAAAAACATCAGGTAGAAAAAAATTTACATAATAATGACTAAAAATCCAAATCCTAACATTATATTAACTTACATTAATATGCCACTTAACAAAGACTTAAGAAAAATCCATATTTGCTTCAGACAAACAGCTCGTTTCCATTGCGTTTGTCTGAGTCACAGGGGATGCTTAATTTGGGTCAAATTTGTCAAAATTGCGAAGCAAAAATTTGAAAGCCAGCTTGCCGTCATAGACCCGTGCTCTGTTCTCTGATAAAGCACGCCGTTTCAGCCAATCAGAGCGCGCGTTATATGGAAACTTTA